CTCGAAGGCAGGCTCGTGAGATGCATCAGCAGAGCAGGACGCAAGCAACGCATAACAGCAGCATGGAGGTGGCGCACAGAACACTTAACAGCAGCATGGAGGCGGCACGCACTACAGCACTAGGCATGCGCAATATCTAGCAGCACGGAGGCGGCACATATCAACAGTAGGCGGTACATTGACCTAGCAGCAGCATGCCGACCTGGGTTCTCAAGACATCTCGGGTAGGGGTGGGCTGCCGGGCGGTTTGGGGCGTGGGCGGGCTTGTGTCGCAGGGGCCTTAGAGTGTGGGAGTCTAAGGGTTTCTCCTTGGGTATGTTTCGGACTTGAGGTTGGGATCTGCGTGTGCACACAGGAGGGCCCTGCACTGCTGACCCCCCGTAAACCCGGGCCCGTCCCCTCCTCGCTCCGCCCAGGTCTGAAGTCTTCGGCGTTGGCACAGCAGGGTCGGGACGTTGGAACCTCAGAGTGCGGGATGCCTTGCACGTTGCAGTGGTGAGCCTTGGGTCTCTGAAGCTGCGAGCCTGGAATCTCTGTAGCTTTTAGCTCGAAGGGGGGACCGCAGGATAGAGTCCGTGCCACCAGCCATGCCTGTTAACGTGGATGCTCGTAGCATGACCCGTGCGCAGCTCGCGGAGTTCGCGCTTTCCTCTGCGCCACGCATCTACGATGCCCTCAAGAAGAAGTTCGGCTCGAAGCCGCTGGTAATCGAGAGCTGCAGTGCCACCGACATCCAGATGTTCTTCGAGGAGGCTGCGGGCATGACGGCGAAACAGGTTCGGAAAGCCAAGTTCAAGTTCATGCAAGACACCGGCTGCATGAGGAACTTCAGCCTGGACCCTGTCACTCGTGTGTTTTATCGGGAGGCCGAAGGCGTGGTGTACATCATGTGGAACAGCTGTTATGCTGAAGGCGACTTCGCCGTGGCCTTCCCGGCAGAGAACGACGACGAGCGATTCTACCGAGAGCTGGACAGGACGGCGACGGGTGCACATGAGCCGAGGCGACGGACCGTCCGAATCCCCACTCGTGCTGGTCAGCCTTGCAGGGGCTAGAATGGTGACTCCTCCACGGCGCCAGTACAGACGGGCGCTCGGAGCATGTCAGCCCGATTTAGTGGTCGGCGTGAAGCCGTG